AATCTTGTGGTTCTGGATGTGTCTGTGGCTTGGATAACTCCTGGGACATACAGTAACATTGCTCCCTTTAGCATAATGATAAAGTCACTCTGTCTATAACCGTCACCCTGATGAATAGATAACTATTCACTCCCTGCATGCAGGACTGCAGTAACGTGACCACAGTGCAATAAACTGTGGATAAAGCCCACCACAGGCACCAGTCTAATAGCTCAATTGTACACAATACAATTTGATACTTGTGTATATAATATAATCTTTATTGCCTATTGTTGCCCATTGCATGTTGCAAAACCACATTGAGAAACATCACATTTTCCAAAATGAAAAATTTCATTGAGGTAAAACATGAGAGGTTCTGTGCAAATTACCTATTTTCTGTCTTCTCTGCTGGACTCTGAATCACACCCTGTTCCCTTTGGCTAATTTCACAAAATCACTTTTCTGCAGCTTCACCGTGACTGAACTTGGTACATCAACTGTGCTCACCCAAACACTAAGACTCTAGGTTTTTTTCTAATGCATTAATATTCAGCAGGGACAAACTGATGTGTGGGTCACACCTCTCTGCCTTCATTTTTACTGTATGATGTGTCGCAACCTGTCTACATCTATCCAGCTATCCACTTGGCCTCTGGTATGAAGAGTTTATAAATGCATCTCCAATGCCAATCTTCCCTTTCCCTAACGAGCTACAATTGACCCATAAGTTATGCTACCTACAAAGAACAATGTCTCTCTTCTAAAATGAAATGGTCAACAGTATTTACATGCTCCTACATTCTCCTTATGAAAAGCTAGAAGAAAAATGTCTCATGTATTTACACTAATATTTTACTAAGTTTGTTTTGTTGTGTAAGAATTGTATTTTTTGGTGATGAGAGCAAACTGCAAGAGACATTTCAGAAGAATAACAGCTGTGATTCTTAATCATAATGTATGTAGATATGTGACTTGGGAGTTATTTCATGCGGTAAGGGTTCCAGAAGCCCTGTTCGTTTCCTGCACATACAGTACAGTGATAGAGCAGTCAGAGCATAAGCCCACAGTGAGACCGTGAGCAGAAAGAATTCATTGACTGAAAAGGTACAAAACAGTGCAGAGAGTGTCGCTGCATTTAGTCTCAGCTGGGGTTTTTAGTATCTTCTCAGTGGATTGTAGATTAATTGAGTTAGTTTACCCATTTCTTCCAAGAAGCACCAGAGTCAGACAGCCAAGAGAGAATGTTACTAAATGCAAGACAAAAGCTCATCAGTAGCAGCACAACATGTCAAGAGGTTAATTCGACTTTTTAACAAGATGTTTTTGCGAGGATGAAACAGTTTTATTTTCATTGATGGCATTAACATTGATCAACACATTATCCAAACAGAAATAAACACCTTTAAGCAAGTATGGGCCCGGAAATGCAGGATATATAGTACGAAAACTGCTTTAAAAGGCTGTTTCAGGATAGGATGGGCTTTTCCTTGAATACCCAAAGAATCTTCCCCCGCAAAATGTGTCATCACAGCAGCCTACACTCCAGACCTGAGTGACTATAGTAGCAGCAAACCTTACAAGCTTCACCCAGTGATTCATCCTCTTTCATTATAACAACACCCACATGCCACTGCACACGTTATAATACCCACCGAGTTCACTGGTCCCTTAAAACATACCCTTGTGAATTCCTCAATTAAAAAAAGCTTCCTTAAGAGCTTTCATTTTGAAAGCCCTGGTTTCCAGAAGTTCCAATGTATTTCTCTTTATATCATCATCAAACATTTGTCTAACATGAGCACAAGGCCATGTACAACTATACCTACGTTTTTCCATGTATTGTCTGTATCTAATAATTTATGGTGAAAATGATCTTTCACAATGGGAAAACTGGACTGTGCAGATATTTTAGGATGCTCTCATTCAACCACGTTATACATTTATAAACATGTATACAGAATGAAGTGAATGAATGAATACAGTACATGAATATAGTGTGAGCTGATATAATATGCATTAAGATGCAAAGTGATTAAGTGCAGCAAGAGAGATCTTATTAAAGCAGACAAAAAGACAAAGACACGGATGAACAAATGGCTGGTGGAAAGTAATATTTCTAGTTTCCAGATGATGACTGACACCTCAGTGCCTCTGTTAGGCACAATTAACATGCTGAGGGAAGTTTCTCTCTCGAGACAGAGAGTAGCCTAAATGATCACAGACTTCAGTCACAGAAATATCTAATGAACAGGGATGTCCAGTGGGTACATGCTGTGCTACTGCATGCTCCGATTCAGATACTGATGGACATTGCTATTATAGGTCTACTAAATGAAGAAATGACAAGAAGAGCAACAGAGGAAGGATGCCGCATACAGGATGGGCAGACATGCAATAGATGTCAAATGTACAGAATTAATAACAGCTTTACAGCATGGACAGTCACAATGGCAAAACTGTATTTTGTAAGCATACAAAGAACATGATCCAGAAGGCTGTGCTGTCATATTTATATTTGTATGTTTTCAGAATTCTTTAAAGAAAACTGACAATTCCCTGGACAAGACTGAAATGTTATTCATGGGCAACAGATTCTTCTGTTTTTCTTACTGTATATGATGTGTCTGCACTAGGACTGAAAACTGTAGTATCTGCTACTACAAAAGCAATATCATCTGTTACACAGTGTGCTGTCACTGTGGTCATGTTTTTAGGGTAAAACTAACAGCAAATATGTCACAGTCACAGAACTCTCATACTCATTTGGTAGGCTCTCAGCTGTCTAGCAACAATGTTCTCTCAAATGTTGAAGCTAAGAATGCAATAGTTTGAATCCTTTCTCAGACATGTACATTTTGTTCTACTTATTAATCACAACTGATTGCATATAGGATCAGTTTATAGAGCAGATATAACAGTTAATGGATACACTGAATAAAATAAAAATTAGTACTAGTATTAGTAGTTGTGGTAGGTTGACTGAGTGGCCAGGAATGTAGGAGACAGACTCGAAAAATACATCAGGTTTTCTCAAATCAATAATTTATTTTAAACAAGTGCCAGCAAAGTACATATGCCAAAACAAAATCACTAAACAAACTCAATGGTTAACTTCACAGAAAACTCAACTCAAAGTAACTCAACGCAACTTACAAGCACGTGCACACAGCTACACTTAGACTGCCACACTCCCAGCTACTCCACCTCAGCTGATTAAATAGCCCCTGGTATCAATCAACCCTATGACATCCTTGATGACATCAGAGAGCGTACAGAATGAGGAAGTGATTAACCTAGTAAATACAATCAAACATTTAACACACAGGTTAAGGCATTAGGAAACATACATGACTTACGTTAAGGACAAGTGGAGTGCTCTCACCCACTTTGTCACAGTAGTGATAAAGCCATTAAGTAGCTTTGTCATTAATCACAGTTACAGCAACATGATATGAAAACTTACCTCTGATCCCGTGGAGCTCATGGATGAGAGACAGAGTGTGAATAACCTGAGGTCCCTTACAACAAAGCAGTCAGAAGACTGAGAGGGACAGAGAGTTAACGGGCAGTGCGTGTGTGACTGTGTGTGCAGCAGGTCAGCTGGTGTCAACAGCCGATGTGCACATGTTGGGAGTGGGAACCAAATTCCGACATCAGTAGCACACTAAGATCAGAACAATGGCTTAACACATTTGTGGATGAACATACTATGCACTGACAGCCTGCCAGGATGAAGAGGAAAAGAACCCACCTGACACTTCTTCTGTTATAACTTTACAAGTCAGCAGTACACCTCAATGTCTATGCTATTTGACCTTGAAATGGAGAATAATGAGAATTCCTGAGAGTTCTGATAGAGTGACAAATGAGGTCTAAACAAGAGGCAAGCATACAAATAGAAAAAGTGAAAGGGGACAAAATAAGAAATTACATGAAGTGAAATGAAAAGTAATAGTGTTAGATGATGAGCCTTTTTATAGAGCCTGTGGTCATAAGCATGACTTAGAAATAGCAGCCACCTGTTGGAAGTGAAAATTCCAGCAGAGCACAGAGCAGCTGGCAGGTCACAGGTTGTTGCTGATGTGGCAACTAAACAGCACACATTTGTTAAGGATGTTCAATCAAGTTAGTATTGTTTTATTACTCGATTCCAAACCAAGTCCTTTAATTTTTGATATTTGCCAATACTGAGACCGATATACATTTTGGTTATTTTCCACAAAAGAATCATCACCCGGTGCAGTTCCAATGGTGTGTTTAATAGTTTCAGAGAACAAATAAGACAAACCAAGGTCTAGATTTACAGAGATTATGGAGAGTATATATTTATTTCATTGTTGGCTTTAATGTTTGCATGGGATTTGTGGAAAATTACAAAAGCACCTGCCCTCTGATGTCTTTGCCTCCATCAACCACAAGAAGTTTCTATATTCTTTTATGTTTCTTTTAAGATGCTTGGTCAACATCAAAGTGTATAAGATTTCAGCTCATTTTCATATATACCTAGTTAATTCAATTTTATTTAGGCCATACAGCACCAAACCACAACAAAAATTATCTAAAGGCACTTTATGGTCAAAACTAATAATATAACATAATAGAGGAATAAACCCCCTTGAGCAAGCGTTTGGAGACAGTGAGAAGGGAAAACCAGGCTCTTGTCGGAGCAGTCATCTGCTTCGAACAGTTAGGGTAAGTCGAGAGCAGAGAGAGAAAGAAGAGCATTAAGAAACCATAAAGAATGGGCAGGTAGGGACTGTAACTGCTATATACTGAGGGCAAGGACTGGAGGGGCACTCCAGAATAAAGGACAGAGTGAAGCCAAGAACCACGGCTCTTTAGTATTTACTTACTCCAACCCTGTGGGGCAACCGCAAATGTATGCAGTGAAAAAAACCCAGAATATCTTAAAAACACTATCTATTTTTGTATGTTATTTTTGTTTATTTTAGAACTAATCAAAATTTGAATGTAAAGGGACTTTACATAGCAACAACAGTTCTGGGGAAGCTGTTGCTACACTAAATTTCAAATGTACATAAAAGACAGCAAACAGCTAACTTGATGCAGCTACAAAATTAGAAGAAGAAAATTAGACTGCATCTTAACTGAGGTAAGTCCATTTTGAAAGTTATCTATTGAAAAATATCCTAATGTTACTCAACATTTCAGTAAAATACAATGATATTAAGGTAATTTATCGGACCAGTGGTGGTTAACACACCTGGACCTAATTAGTTAATGTTTATATATCATCTCCTTTCACGTTGTGGTGGATCGTACCTGATGATGATGCAACTTTACTGTTGAAGCATCATGTTAGTGGGTCGGCCAAGTAAAACTAGCTTGCTGTGGAGTACTATCAGTATGCAGGCATCTTCATTGGTTTGGTTTTAATCAAATTAAAACTATATATAAATAAGATTTTACTAGTTTAATAGTTCAAGTAAACTGCACAATAATTATACAGAAAGAAAACAGCATAGTTTTTCCTTTTTTAGTCCACTGAAGTTATATTGTTTCAGCAGATCCCTCCACCCCACTTACCTACACACTGTAGCAAGCTGGGGAATCTGCCATGGTAACAGAAAGCTAATAGTGACACAGGGAGCCTTGATCAGTCATTACAAATACCACTAAAACATTTACAAGCAGCAAATAGCAAGAGATTTGTGCAATTTAACCAGGTGTCTGTCACTTTGCTTTGTTTTTCCCACACAGAACATGGCACCAGAAGATATCTTGATGTCAAAATCTGGTAGAAAGAAACATTTCAGTTTCTCTCCCTTCAGGTACAATATTTAAACTTTTTTTTCTTTTGTAGGGCAAACACTACACTTTTGTTTTGATTAATCTAGTCTAACTTCTTCCTACTCCGTTCAAGCATGTACTAGGTATAAGTAAATTGAAAATATTTTTGTGGACATGTCTGGAATTATGTGTGATTACATACTGACTGTTGTTACATGTTTGAAAGAATAAATAAATCAAATCAAATCAAATCAAATCTCATTTTAACAAAAATCAAGCAATTTAAGCTGTTGTTTTGGGAACATATGCAGCATGAATTGCGTGCAAGGGTAATTTCCTAACTGGAAAGTTGGTTAATTCATTGTTACTGAAATGACTTTTGTTTTAATGTCTGGTCAGGAGCAGGCGGCAGACAGCAAATGACAGGAGATTCTGCATCATGTGGATCAACAGGATGGTGAATAAGCAGATGGAGAAGCGCATGTCTGTCCTGCATTCAGAAATCCTTCTCATGAATGATTCTCTGAGAGAGGAGATGAGGGCTGAGCTTCAGGAGCAGCTGAGAGAGCTGTCTGTGGTGAAAACAACAGGAGAGAGAGCCCTACATCACACCAAGCTGGACCAAGAGCTGAGGACGACATCAAAACAGTTCAAAAAAATGGATGAATGTAAGAAGAATGCTGAGGAGGAAGAAGGTGAAGCAAAATCTCAGGACACGGAGACATTAATCACTAACTTTTCTGAAACACCGTCTGTTATAAACAGCTCCTTCATAAAGAGGAAACATCTAAAACATGAGGAGAGCTCAAAGATTGTGTCAGATGGCTTCCATGACAATGACAGCTATGCTGACACCAGTGGTGTCTCCAATGCTGTTTACAGCAGCTTAGCCCCTCCTAAATATGAGCGACAGGAATACCAAAGAATTTCACTGGCCAGCCAGCTGATGAAGGAATCACAGGAGGAAAGACCCTCAAGCAGTGAAAAAGAGGGAGGGGCAGAGCCTCCTGCAAAAGAGAAACAAACGAAGCAAGACGCAAAAGGAATGGACACTCTGACGAAAATTAAGAGATCTCTCCATTACCTTTTCAATCCTCATTTGTCTTCTAAATGGGAGATATTAGAGGATGAGGACTGATCATTTATCTTTACAGATAGATTTTGAGTCATACCATGTTAAAATCTGTAAATAAAACATTGTGCACAACAGCTACAATCTCCACCTTTAACAGACTGACAAAAAATGCTATCTCTCCCTCTGCAGCGTGTTGGTGCTGCAGTGTGCGTCAGGGTGATTTAGTGGTCAATGGAGGGAAACAATAGTGGAGCTTTATGGTAACCGCTGCATAAATGTTCCTTTTCCTCCTCTTAACCTCATTCTATTCCAGCCTCAGAACAATTGGTACTCTGTGAGATGTAGTCAGTAGTTCACAGGAAAGAAAACAACAGTATGGCAGGGACATAACATTTCTACATGCCAACAGTATTTTCCATCTATCAGGGGAAAAAGTCTTAACACACATCCATCTGAAAGCATCCCAGCTACATCAGAAGACGAAACAAAGTTCGCTATTTAAAATTACAATCATAAATCAATCAAAAAAATCCTACCAAATGTTCCAGACTTCCAGGTTTATTCATTCTAAGACAACAGTAGAAATAAGAATCTTTAAGCAAGAAAATCATAACATTTAAGACTATTTTGTCTGACATTAATGCACAGTAAAAAGAATAAATGCTAAAAAGAAGGGCTTATTTAAATGACTTCTAGTGGGTAGTCTAAGAACACTTTGCAGTGGAGAGAAGCTGCCTGAGCCTGGCTGCTACTGTAACATACTCAGGACACAGTCCAAGATATGGGATTAGGCCTAACACCATGTCTAGGCTGGACACTGGTGTGAATGAGAACACTTTACTTCTGTGTAACCAATAACTGCACAAATACAAGCTGCCTGTATGTATAACATATGTGAACATGCACAAATGCATTGGGGATTTAAATTGAAAAGTAGCCCTGCAACAGTCTTCTGTCACTGCCTGTACACCTCTTTCTTGTCACATTCCTCTGTGACAAAAGCCAGAAATTACCCTGCGTGGATTTTCCTGCCCATCTAAAAATGTAACCACTCGCCGAAGACAAAATAAATGATTGGCTACATGAGAAGCTAACCTGGTTTATTTTTAAACACCCACCAAACAGAGCAAACCCCTAAATACGAATGGCTTACAAAACCAATTTTACTTTTCTGCACATGCACACACACATACCTACAGGAGGTGTAAATCTTGACCTTGCAGCCTGTTTGACTGTCAGGTAGTTTGATAAACAAAACAGAAAAGGGAGTTTACAACCACATGCAGTCATGCTTTCATATTCATTTGAATTACTTAACCTCACCTGTGCAGAAAGACTGATTTATGCATGAAGTCCAATAACAATAACTTTTTAAAGCTGCAGTACAAGTGCCTTTTAATCATAGGCAGAAACTGCAAACTGTGCAGAAAGCAGTGCTAAGCATCACATCCATCTAGCCAGCCAAAAGCTTCTAATCACATCCTGCCAATTACCTTTCTTCTCTCTAAAGATCCACATCAGCTTTGTGCCAGTAGGCGGCACTAAGTCCCTTGCGAGGACTAGCCAAATTCAGCAGTACTATCAGCAGTGCCAGTAAGGTTCATGCCCATACAAACCATCATTTTTCTCTCTTGAACATGACAGGCACTGATTTCATGCTATCAGTTTCTTTACTACAAGGCGGAGCTGAGACCAGACAGCATCAAAGAACGCAAGCACAAATATACTAGAGTGATGCTCCTGTCTGATATTTTCTCTGCTGTGGATAACACTTTGGTAACGTGATGATCACGTGCCAAAATGACGTTGCTCTCACACAGTCTGTGCCACGATTAAAACCATTCACCCGGAAAAATGACAGCTTCACAGCGAAACTGACCGAAACACTCATACTGATGAACGTGAGCTTTCAGGGACTGAACTGCAATTTGGAATGTAAACACCTGAATGTTGCAATTTATCTAATGCACCAAACTCAGAAAACCTATAAAATAAATTATGCAGACATGGAGAGCAAAACAAACACGCAGTATGCACCACTGCTGTTTCTGAACAGATTTTCCAAAAGGACAAGAAGTAATTGACTTTTCTTATTATGGCCAAACCTAAAGGTCAACTCGAAAGCAATGGCTGAGTAAGAAGATGTGATGGCTGGAACACAATTCTAAAACCTGTACTCCATTGTCAGTGGCTACCAACTAAACACACCACCCTTTACTAATTGAAGCATTGTATGTGTATGACCTACATACAGATTAACCCATAATCCAGACCCATTAATTACATTTTTTTGTTTTTTACCTGAACGCTAAATGGCTCAATGTTTGCACTATGCTTTAAATAAACAAAGCAGGCCTTCATATATATATATATATAAGAAAAAAAAAGCTATGTAGCTCTGCACAGGCATGATGGGATACGGCCTTCCACACCTATTTTCAGGACATGTCTACAGGCTGCGTCACATGTTGGAGCTGCAAGCCAATAGGTTCTTTGGATCTCATGGCAGATTGAGTTGGACTACATCTTGTATTTCACCTTCCTAAGGAAACTGAATGTGCCACATTTTCCTATCTGCTGTAGTTAACCTTGATGTTTGGGGCCAATGATAACAGAAAAACAGGATGGACCCTGGATGGGTTGAAGTCCACCACCTCTCACAGGTGGTCGTGTTTTCTTGTGCTCTTATCTGAATTGGAAAAAACTAACAAAAAAATCTCTTTTAATTGCATTCTTCTTGTGGCACTGCATCATTTTTTTTACATTAATGATAAAGCAGAGAAAAAAAAAAACATTTTACCCTCATCGATTAAACAAAAACACTTGGACCAAATTATTAAGACAAGTGTCAGGTTTGGAACTTCCAAATCCTACAAAACAGAAACTGGTAGAAACTTGTACTGGTACATTTCACCTGGCCAGTTTTTCACAGCAAATGAAAATGGCAAGCTCTACTCTAGGTCAGCTGTATAGCAGCTCAGGTCCACTTCCTTCCATAACTACTAAAATCACTGTCAGACATTACTGACAACAAGTCAACTGGAACACACGTGTTTCAATAAATGCCCCCCCACCCCCATCCAACTATTTCCCCAGCTCACAGCCTACCCCAGGACCTTTGTAGCCACTCTTTCAGTCTCTGTTGCTCTCTCTCCATCTCTGGATCAATACAGTGGCTTTTCAGATGATTACATTGACTTCCCAGTAAACCTCATAAAGATGTTCCCTTGAGTTCAAAAGGCTAAGATCTTCTAAACACTTGTCAAATGCAAGATTCTGATGCAGTAACAAGAAGCACAAGCATTGTGTCCTTAATAAAGTAAGCATTTTGATCTGATCAGTCTGAATGTGTCTGTAACATGTTTCATTGCAGACCTGTAAAAACCCTCCACTGCTCTGGCTCAATGTTAATGTTTTAAGACAACGTTAAATATGTGAAAGGTTTACAACTTTGTTTACGGTGAAAGCAGTTTATATGATCATACTATTCTGCCAAACAACTTCATCAAAAATAGCATGGAGGTAAAAATGTTACAGCAGTTCTGGCAGCACAGATCTAGGAAACAGAACAAAAGCTACGTTATGCACCATATCCCATTTCATCTTCCAGCTGATTCTATTAATCAGCTTCGATCTCAGTTCCAGGTAGGGTTGCAACAGTATGAGATTTTCCCTGCACAGAGGCGTGCTCTCAAAGCTGTTCATTTTTGAGATATCCAAAGTAATACCATGGCTGATTTTAATTTCTTTTTTGGTGGATGGAGTTTGGTGATAGGCTTTTAATCTCTGCAGTGGCGCCCATTATGAAGTCTGACAGGAAGTCTGGGAAGAAAGGTGCACGTGCATTGCATTGTTTCTTCAATACCAGTAAGCAAACGTGCATTATATGATATCATCAATTTTCATACCACGTTATACTGTGAAACCGGTACACCACTGCAACTCTAGCTCCAGGAAGCACAAAAATCCTTACACCTCATTTCTACAACACACAACAGAAACCACTGCCAGGACATTATGAGTTGGGTATACATGCACCAAATAGGCGACTGTGAACTTTAAATGAGATATCAGGATGACAATGAGTAAATATGTTGATCTAAAAATCTTGTGTTTTAGGAACCAAGGGCCCCAGTCAAACTTAACATGAATATTGTTTAGAACTGTATGAAACACACACATGTTCTCTTAATGCATCCACATCCCAGCCAAGCTCCTATATTGATCACGACAGGCTGCAGGAATACTTATGACTCTCTGACTACTGGGGCAGATTCATCTGTGCAACAAGGAAGCTCATTTGCAAATATTCAATATCTACTCACCACTGAGGAAATGGGGTCTACATTGAGTTGCAAATGACCCATTTTTGATTAGCATGAGCAGTAGGGAAAACATCCCACAGCCATTGGTCACGAGGTGTTTTGTTCAACACACCTGTATCATATTATTGTCTGTCTGCAGGGGCTTGTCCGCCCTTTACTCTTGAGCATCTGTCTACTTATAAAAACCTTCTTATAGTTCAGCTGCTAGGTTGTTAAATTTTCAGAGCACCTGGGTTGGAGGTTGAAGAAAGATGCAAGCTGCAGACACAGAGGTTTTGTTTGGGCTCTTAGGAAAATGACAGTGACTTAAATAACATTAACATTTCTGTGCTGAGCCAGTGTCTGGTCTGGCTCAACTCAGTGATGATTAGTCTATGTGAGAGGGCAGCATTTACAGTTAGAAAGCTAATTCCCCAGCACCATCTATTGATTTAAAAGGCTGACCCTACCTGCTCTCATTATGCTGCCTGACAATGTCTTCCACTGCTCTACGCATTTTAAATATATATCGTTCATTGGCTAATCAATGCAAGTTACTGAGAAGAGGGAATCAGTTCTGAGTAATACCAGAAACACATCAATCATGTTCTCACTTTCTGCATCAAGATGTCATTCAGCAGGGCACAGACACTCCTGAGTCATTTAGCAGTCTACACTGTCATGCTTAACCTTGTTTACACACAGAGGCTCAGACTATATATATTAAGCATGTATGAATGGATAGATCTACACAGTATATATTAGTTGCATGTGCTTGTCAGTCTTCGTGTGAGACTGTGTAACGGCACTGGCTGAGAATGGAGATAATGCTGTAGGGTAACAGTGTCACAGTGCAGAGTTC